TCTCTATTGTTGTGACTTAGATGATGATCAGATCACATTTTATGACCAATTTGTGCAGAAATCCATATCATTCCAAAGGGTTCACATACTTTTTCTTGCAACTGTATACCCTTAATGGAAGCGAATTAGGGATAAAACACATGAAAAGAACTTGGGAATTATTCTAGGCAAACTATGCAACAATATGCAATGTCAATCAGCAGTGGCCAAGGCCAGTAAGGTATTGTCATGCATGAAAAAGGGCATTCATTCTTGGGACGAGAATATCATTTTGCCTCTTTATAAATCACTGGTAAGACCACATATTGAATATGCTATGCAATTTTGGGCACCTGCTCTAAAGAAGGATATTATGGCACTAGAAAAAGTGCAGAGGCACGCTACAAAATGTATAAAAGGAATGGAACATATCAGCTATGAAGAAAGGTTAACAAATTTAAACCTATTTAGTTTAGAAAAACATCGCCTGAGAGGGGATATGATAATATTATACAAATATATTTGGGGCCAATACAAACCATTGTGTGGAAATCTTTTCACAAACAGGACGATACATAAGACACGAGGTTATGCGTTTAGACTGAAAGAAAGAAGATTTCGAAAGGCAAAGGAAAGGTTTTTTTACTGTAAGAACAATAAGGATGTGGAATTCTCTGCCTGAAGAAGTGGTTTTATCAGAGTCCATACAGATGTTCAAACAGCTACTATATGCATACTTGCAAAAACAGAATATTCAAGGATATAATCTTTCAATGTAGGGTAATAACTGCTTGATCCAAGGATAAATCTGACTGCCATTCTGAGGTCAAGAAGGAATTTTTTTCCTAGCTTGTTGCAAAATTGTGCTTCAAACTGGGTTTTTTGCCTTCTTTTGGATCAACAGCAAAAAAACAAATGTGAGGAAGGCTAAACTTGATGGACGCAAGTCTCTTTTCAGCTATGTGACTATGTAACTATGTAATATTAAAGGTCCCGTGTAGTGACAGCTCCCCCTTTACTGTCATTTTTTTCAACGACAAACATAGAATTAATCCAACTGGTTGCATATTATTTAAGTTTTCATACAATGTTCTACTACTTTCACTCTGTTTATGCCTTAATAAAATAATGCTAAAAAAAATGTGCACAGACTTACCTATAATGTAAAAATCCCTGTAATAATGGCATAACACAGATAAAGTATTACATCCAATGGATCTTTGTTAGGAATAACCTAAATAAATCATTGCATGACTCAGAACACTGGGTTTCTCAGATTCAATGGCAAACTGCCAGAGTACAATACGTGGGTTGCCTTGAGGTGCATTATTAATAAATCATTTCACAAATCGCAATAGTCGTATTTATATCACACTCAGGGATAAATATCTCATCTCTAAAGAGTCCAGAGACAGTGACAAAAGGGACGTCAAGTCAATTAAAAGAGTGTGAAATTCTGTTTCGAGCAAGAGTTCAAAATACACATTTTTAAAATTACTGAATTTTAGACTTCGTGGAATAATTAAATAGATGGATAAATATTTTGCTACGTCCATGGTTAAAGTTAGGTTAATGTAACTGAAATTCTCTGAAGTCTATTATAGTGCATACTTAAGTCCAAAGCACATGTTCGGCACAACCAATAACATAAATCATGAAGGAACATTTTTTTTTCTTTTCTTTTTTGTCATTCTGACTCTCTGCCTCTTGTTAGGCAACAATCTGTTCACATCGTCCCCGTGCAATACATTAATACCTGCAAAAAGGCAAAATAAACTCTCCACCAGCCTTGCAACTAAATTAGGTGCAATGCAGTATCTGATCTTACAAGTTATGCTGCACATTTATCACACAATAGACTCCCGTGGTTTTTTAAAACCCACATGGTCGCATCCGTCTGCACACTTTAAAAAAAAATATATATACTCTTGGCAATGTCCTGTTGGGATACAGTTAAAAAAAAAAATGCTTATTGTATTCTATTGGAAAATGTGTAACATTTTACAAGTCGCCTGACTTCTTCAAGGGAAAATCAATTTCCAATTTTTTTCTTTTCTTTTGTCTTTATTGTAGCCTGACATATTTAGTACTGATTGGCAGGTACGGCACTAATTACTAATTGATTCAATAATAGAATTAAATAATGTTTATAACAACAACAAAAATACAGACAAGCATGCACATTGCTGATGTGATCAATATATTAGAGTATGCTGCATTGCATACTTACTGTACAGCAAGGCATGGGTGATGCTTAGAGTCCAGTACAATTCTTTTCAAGAACGGATGAATATATCCTTTCATTTTCTTCCGTAGTAGCCATGCAGTGTGAGAGAAGACAGACACAAAAAAAAAAAGAGTTAACATCCAATCAAATTCCCAGGAGCAGCTAGTCCATTAGGGGACATTTCTCTCCTTGGTTCGCCTGCAAATCTGTTCTCTGTACAGTATAAGAGACACTGGCAGATAGAGCTTAGAGCATGTGACATTTCAGCATGTACAATTTAGGGAACCCCCCCACCCCCCAAGGATAGCTATATGCTCATTCCTTATAGAGACTGGGAGAGCTGAATAGCAAGGGAGTGCAGTATAGGATAATAATTGGATTAGCAAATCAATAGAATGGACCTTCATCTCTCTATAGGAATAGGGTCATAACTGCAGCAATCTGCCATTTCATAGAGAGTTGAAATAACAGTCTCGTGTTACGGTGTCTTAAAAAGCTATCTAAGCAGTGATAACATTTTGATTTCTAAAGTTATATTTCAGGCAGATGTGTATTTTTACTGATTTCATTTTAATGCTCATGTGCTTGTCACATTCGAGATAACATCTAGAATTTTACAGGTAAAAAAAAGAAACAAAACAATCACTATAAACACAGGGGGCATAGCTAGAAACCACAGGGCCCTGGTGCGAAAATTGCCCTGGGGCCCCATACCATATGTCTCCACCCGCCCCTCCATGTGTCACATTCCCGCCCCCAGAATCTCCACGTGTTTTATTCATTCACCCCACAGGATGAGTGTGGCACGGTTTGGGGGATGAGTATGTGATAGGGTGAACGGGGACGAGTGTGACAGAGTGATGGAGAATGCGTGTGACAGTGCTAGAGAAGGTGAGTGTTATAGGGTGAATATGGCAGAGTGATGGAAGGTGAGTATGGCATGGGTGAGTGACAGGATTGGGGGAGTTATTGTGAGTAAGGCATGGTTACACAAACACAAATGCAGAAAAACAGACAAACACACTGTAGTGGAGCTCCAATACCCAGCATAGGTATCTCCGCTATTCCTTCCTCGGAGCTGAAAGAAAGACTGTAGTAATCCAAGACCCCTTTCCCCCAGCAACCAGACGACACATAGTTCTGGGAGTCAACTGATTTTATTTTGGTCACAAATGGCTTTTATGCACTGACCCCTAGCATGGGGTTTCCACATCAAAATTTCAGGGGTTTTCCTCCACCATGAAATTCACATCACCGAATAGCTTGGATCTGAGCGCCCACTCATAATATTGCTCACATCCCTTTGGTGGTTCTGTAACACCATTCAAATAAAGCTTTGACCAGTTGGCAATGAGGTGATGCCCCAAAACAGTTCCAGAGAAAACAAGGCAACAACCGATCATCTTTCGGGGGCTCTCGCATGAACACTGATGGATGTATCCCCTGGCTGTTAGGGAGTGAATGCTCCCCCTGTTCGGTAGTTCATGCTTCCCGAACACCGTTATTATAACTGTTCGGGAAGTTGGATGGGCAGCGATAGTAATTTCCCAGGTGTTCGCGGGGTTGCATATCCGAAAATAGTTACACTCTGTTGACGACCATACCGATGCCTACGTTCGAGAGACAAACAGGGAAAACACTTGCACTAACGATCAATTTGTGGTTAACAGCCAGGGGTGGTTGGTGATTAAAAGATGCGAACAAGGTGACCACACAAAGTTGGTTTGGTAAATGAAAAAGGGGGATAGGGACAGCCAAACA